GGCCATTGTTACACTCCCTCTAGTTATGAATGAATTCCTGTTGTGCCGGGCCATTGTTACACTCCCTCTAGTTATGAATGAATTCCTGTTTTGCGTTCCTGCCGGTGCTAGCTGTCAACCATCGCTTTGGTCCTTGTTTTATTTCTCTGCTAGATATGTAGCAAGTCTGGATGTGGTTTGAATTTGCATCCTCTAGTAACCAATGATATTAAACATCATCATATGTGCTAATTTCCTATTCATGGACCTTCTTTGTTGAGGTATCTGTTCACCTCTCTTGCCCATTCCTAAAGTAGGGATGTGTGAAAACCTGTTTGTGTTGCTATAGTACAATGCCACAGGCTGAATAATTTATAAAGTACAGAAATTAGTTTTTTAAAGTCTGGAGTCTGGGAAATCCAAGATCAAAGCACCAGCTTCTGGTTAGGGGCTATCTCAGGCTACCTTAGTTGGTGGTAGGTGGAAAGGAAAAAAAGGGACAGGTTCTTAGTCCTCACTGTCAGAAGAGGGAGAAGCCACTCCTGTGAGCTTGTTCTCAGAGGCTCACGTCCATGCCTGAGGACAGAGAACCTTCAACTAGGCCCCAGCTCTCAACTCTGCTTTGTTGGGGATCCATTCGGGGGACATACAAACAGTAGTAGGCTGTTTGTTTTCTTATTCCCTTTAGCAGTTTGGTCATAGAACAAACTTCAGGACACTAATGAATACACTTGCAAGGGTCATCTCTGTTCCTGACTGTGTGAGCCTATGGCATGTGCGAGATGTGAAATCCTGTTGCCAGTCGAAACTCGCATTTCCTTTTTAGTGGTTCTCTGTAGCTAGAGTTTTCCTGCCTGGCCCACAGTCAGGACAAATCTCTCTCACCTGCCAGTCCCACAGCTGCTCAGACCCAACCAAGTAAACACAGAGACTTATATTGCTTACAAACTGTATGGCTGTGGCAGGCTTCTTGCTAACTGTTCTTATATCTTAAATTAATCCATTTCTATAAATCTTCACATGTGGCTTGTCATGGTGGCGGCTGGCAGTGTCTCTGACTTAGCCTTCCACTTCCCAGAATTCTTCTCCTCCTTGTCCCGCCTATACTCCCTCCTGCCTGACTACTGGCCAATCAGTGTTTTATTTACTAACCAATCAGAGTATCACATTTGCCATACAGAACATCCCACAGCAGTTCTCCAGCTGCTTGGCAGGATGGTGGGCATTTTTTATATGGAAGCATAGACAAAGGGATGCAAATTAAAATTAAAATGTGAGCTGGATATGCAGCTCAGGGGTTGAGGGTGTGCCTTGGATGTTCAAGGCCTGGGTTTGGTCCTTGGCACCAAATATGATGAAAGAAATAAAATGCCACCATGTCCTTTCCTCGGTGGTTAGGGTAGGCTGGCAGAAGTTTGGTGGACTGATTGATTAGATTCTGATAGGGATTCTTGTTGTTTGTTTTGTTTTTCAAGGATGACCTAAGGCAGTGATTCTTAGCCCTGGTGGCTTTGTAGTTTCCCAGAAGTGTGCTCAAGCCGTGTCCCAAGCCAATGACTGGACTCCTCAGACTGTGCTCTTTGGGGGACACAGGGGCCAGACAGACTGCAGACCCAGAGCGATAGGCTTGCCATATGCTTTAAGTGGTTTAATTTTAACTTATTAAAAAAAAAACCAAACAAACCAAAAACCTCCAGGCTGGAAGATCCCCTACCCCCAATGCCTTTAATAATGGCTGTTGCACTCATGAACTTACAACATCCCTCATTGCCTGCATAGGGTCTGCGCATGACTGTGCTGGTCAACATAGACATGGGTGGGGTGGAGCTCGTGAGGTCTAACCCTTCCCTAAGAGCTTTTGGCGTTGATGTTAGTGGAGGGGATACTTACTGTCATCAGTGGTATCCACCTATGCACAGGAAAGACAGGGAGGCAGATTCAGAAAGCATCTTCTTCTTTGTGACTCTTACGAGTTCTGCACACTGGTTAGTTAGTTAGGTAGACACTGGCTAGTTAGGTAGACACTGGCTAGTTAGGTAGACACTGGTTAGTTAGGTAGACTGGCTAGTTAGGTAGACACTGGTTAGTTAGGTAGACTGGCTAGTTA